CATGTCAGACGGCATCACCAAGCAAGTAGACTGCGAGGCAACGCGCCTTTCGAAGCCAAAACCTCAGGCCTCAGTGCCCATCTCGCATGAACTTGCCGGAGTTGAACGCGTTCGGATCCGAGTAGGCTCGTCCCCATGCCGGTTTCGGCCCTGAAGGTCTGAAGCTTGAAGGCCTGACGCTTAGTCTCCCTAGGCAGGCCTGATCTGATCAGTCGAGGATAATCGATCGAATTTGATAGTCCTGACGCTCGCAAGCTCGCGTCGAATCTATGAAGGTCGAAGGCGAACAAAAATAAATATCTTTTGTTCGCGGTGCCAGATCTCGTTTTTGCAGTGATCTGTGGCCTACTTCATTGATATACCTAATTTATTCCAGTGGCAGTGAATCTACGTCCATATACACTCACCGTTGTGCACAATACTGCAAATAAGTGCACAAAAGTACACTCACGCCGCATTTCGTTGGCAACAAAACTCGCTCTCGCACGGCTGGGAGCTTGTTTTCGTAAGGCGCTTATCATAGATTTTCCCATCTGAGCGATCGCTATATCTAAATACGGAAAATCTGTGATGAATACTAATGCGCAAATGTGCACGTAATGTCGTACCTAGAGAAGCCAACACTCTCATACCTTCAAGTTTTGTCTGTGTAGGTGTACAAATGTGAACAAATGTGTACTTACTTGCAAGATCATGCACAAAAGTGAGCATACAGTGACTGACAAAAGTAGCGCGCATGACTAAGAAGGGGTGTCAAATTTGCTTGATAGCTTCCTGACAACTAGTACTACTGGTACAAGCTCCATATTTATTGTATAGTACCTTACCAAGGCTATATTTTGAGCTACACAAATTGCCAAACTGTGTGGATACTATAGCACTGTTATTATTTTACTTAAAATATGCCTCTTTTTTGAAATATTCTTAGCTCTGCAAGGAGTGGTATAATAAATCTTTCTTATCTGTGAATAATAGTGACCCTATGCATAGATTAACATATAAATTTCAGAAGTACAACTTCCCTCCTAATCAGCCAGTGACAAGCCTAACTATATTGGCTACTCTATGCTACATGATTTACAAATCAGGAGTATAATGCTGGAAGCTTGTACAGGCTTGTTCTGCTGTATATGACCTAGATAGAACTAGTGAAAAATAAATAATGTATAATAGCAGGCTACTAGTCTGGCTGTTCTTGATGTACCCCATGACTATACAGTAAGAATGTGAGCCACTAGTGTAACATAGCCTATAACTTTGTGAGGAATACAGCATAGCGAATATGAAATTGATATTAGCATATCACATATGTACAGATTGCCCACAAATAAAATTGCATTTTTCTCGCCCGTGTTTGTAGAGAGATAGTCAGATCAAAATTGGAACAAATTCTGAGGAAGGCAACAATAGCCTTCCAGTGCCTGTGCGGCTGGGAGATTTATATAGCTCAAAATATAGCCTTAGCATAGTGTTATACAATACATGTACAAGTTGTACCAGTAGTACTAGCCATTAGCAAGCTATTGAGCAAACTCAACACCCCTTTGTAGTCACGCGCACTATTTTTGTCAGTCACTGTAAATGAACATAGATTCACCAGTGAAGTAGGCCACAGATCACTGCAAAAACGAGATCTGACACTGCAAACACAAGATATTTATTTTTGTCCACCTTCAACCTTCATACAAATCCCTTGCCCTTAAAAGGGATGCAATAAAGATGCACATAACTCAGGACCCCTGACATTGGGTGGAGAGGCCCCCACAGAGCGCAGCGGCTGGACCTGAGTCCAGCCCACAAAGGGAGAGTGGAGATCAGGGCCACTCACTAGACATTGAATGAGCAAAGTTTGAAAATTGGCCCCTACCCGCAGTTGCCTCGTTTATGAGTTCCGAGGAGCTCTTGCAGCTCTAGCAGACTGAAGATTAAGATGAAGACGAAGATATGGATGCAACAACACCAATAACAGACATTACTGATACACTACTCAATACAGGCCTGGACAAGGACCAACGACGCGAACCGGTAACTGAATGAGCAGAGACGTGACAAAGCTCAGCATATTCCTTTGCCTGGAGCAAATCCATATCTGCATTGGTTCTTCACAGGCACTCTGATTAAGATTATGAAGGTTTATATGCAATTGTGCTGTGTACAAGGAGGGCAAGTTTGTCTCAGGTTTGTAACAACAAGATAATGATGAGCACATAAATATATACCATTGAAATTGTGGCACAGCAAGGCATTCTCATACAATGTACATACACATGTTATGAATACTACAATATAGGTGTCTTACTCCAGCTGTGTTTGATCGCAACCCAATCCTAGACAGACAGGACAATCAGTAGCTGCAGATGCAGCAGATACAAAGGCACAACAAGACATGACCAGTGAGCATAGTGAGCAAAGCAATAAAATACGCACTTGACATTGAATTTTTGTTTCGATTTTCGAGTGTGTTTACCGGCGCCTCGTGCGCACGCTATCCACCCATGTTTGTACCTTACTGACCCCAACTTGGCGCTACGATGCTCGCTCTTGAACCACATCCATCACCTGCGTCCGTGCTTCTCATCCGTGGACATGTGCTGAATGCAGCCTTTTTCCATCTCTCTGGCCCTCCTTTGTGGACATGTGCTGAATGCAGCCTTGTCCAGACTCTCTGGCTCTCCTTCGTGGATGTGCGCTGAATGCAGCCTCGCTCTGGCCCTCCTTTGCGGATGTGTGCTGAATACAGCCTCATCCAGTATGTCCACGCTCACTCGATGTCTAATCCACCACATTGGACAACAAGCTTCTGCCTGAGAGAGGACAGGTCTGCCCGTTGGAGTATGTTGTCATCCAGGTGTGTGGTGCTCCATGCCTTTTTTCTTTTCTTTTTTTAACTTTAACTTTTGATTTCTTCCTTAATTCATCGCCTCACTTGTCGCGCCATCACCCACCCCATTGCACCCACTCCAGCAGCAGCAGCAGCAGCCAGCAGCTCATCCCAGCCATCCAGGCCCATGCGGGTACCTGAGCTTGTCGGCTCCTGCTGCTCATCTCTGCAAGTCCCACCACCTTCACCTCTTAAACCGATCTTCCCACCCGTGATTGAGCTGCCACGCCAGCAGAACACATGCTCACCCTCACCGCGCTTCTCGTACGATGCTGCTGCCGCCGCCTCCGAGGCAGGCCCATTCTTGCAGCCACTCTTGCTGCACATCCACACACCCTGCAAGGAGCGCTTTGCGCCACACAATTCAGTTACAATAGTTACAATAACAATGGTAGACATCTATATGACAATGTTTCATTATTACTGACAGAACTAAGCACTGGCCAGTAGTGTATTAGACTTTGATTTCTATCAATGGCTTGCTAAAATTCCAATCTGTTAAGAGAAAGAAGCTGCAT